CTCTCTCTCTCTCTCTCTCTCTCTCTCTCTCTCTCTCTCTCTCTCTCTCTCTCTCGCGATAATAATTAGGTAAATTTTCCTAGCGCAAATACAATAGAATCAAAATCACGCGTAAGATATGTATTAAAATATACACGTGTAGACATATGGCGGTATTCATTGTCTGATCTTATATTCAAGATCACCTTTAGATACCCCGTAGACAATGAAATGTTCCATACAGCACCTTTAGACAATTTCAAGACGGTCTTGAATATAAAATCTGACCACGAATACCGGTATCAGACTACGGATTGAGATTGTGATTAGATTGAAATTTCACAAATCAGAGTGAAATTCATAAACTTGAAATTAGTAAGCTTTACTCTGATTCGGAGAATTTCAATCGAATCCCAATCTCAATCCGTATAGTCCGATACCGGCTTTATATAATTTTACAAATGAAACGCTATGTCCTGAAGTTGGCCACGTTTCAAATTTTTCCCGCGCTTTTTCGGTCGCCTCTGCTGCTCCTCGATACCACGGGTGCCGAGAGTGCGACTGCACTTCGCGAAACGCACGTGGCGTCGGACGCATCGTGTCGTCGCTGATAATAATAATACGAACCGATGTATATTTAGTGCGTGCAGTGCGTGTGTGGGGGACGGACTTGTCGATGGCGGACGAGGGTGGCGAAACGTCGGACGAGAGTTTGGACGCGACAAGCGAGAAATTCGATCCGTTGAAGGCGTTGTATTCGCCCAAAGTGCGATTGACGTCCTCCGTGCCGATCTATGACAACATTTCGAAATTCGAGTCCGTTCTGAAGGGCGTCGACGTATCGAAAGTAGGTATCGCGCATCGACATGTGCTGCCGTCGTTACGCCAATTTCTGACACGAACGCGAGAGTGAAGTCGAGAGAAAGAATCGACCGAATGGCGTCGTACAAGTTAGAGAGAGTTGGAAGCCGCGCGAGATACCAGAGCGTGTACAACCTAACCTAACCTAACATTATCCGACTTGACCCAGTAGTTTGATTTGTCAGACCTGGGATCTAGGCTTAGCTGAAACTTGAGACAAGCTTGTACGAATTTTTAAAACCGCGATACATTTGGAATTTACGAATGTCACCGTTGAATCAAACTCGAGCTATCCGGGATACTTGAAATGCGCATTCCAGGGAATTTCGGGAATTAGAAGAAAAATTAAAATCTATCAGGATTAGAGTTTATGCATTAACGTAAAATGGCATGTACGATTCGAGACACAAATTGGCGCGACTCAGCCGGGATTTCGAGTGGAGTGATACGCGGAATTGAAATCTCGTGAGATTTCGTTGTAACGGGAAACTAGAGTAATCGGCATTCCAGATCTCGGTGAGAGTGCAGCAGAACTAAGATTCGCGGTTCGTGTATTTCAGAGCGATAAATCGGCCGTGCCGGGATCCTCGAGGCAGAGATTTTTATCGCATCAAGGTAAGGAGAAAGGGAGAGAAGAGGAAGGGGGGAAGCGCGATCCTCAATGTTTACGCGCGGCTTTCTCGCGCCTCACGATAGATGGCGGTCGCATGCGGTTTCGTAGCCCTCGTGGAGGCAGTACTTCATTCATGTAGGAGTGTGACGTCGTAGTATCGAATTTCAATGCGGACTTGCCGGGCGCTTAGGGAGAGACAACGGCGCACCCAGCAGTCTCTCCCCTGCGTCTACACATTCAAAATTAATCAATTCGTATTAATTATTCTCCGACGCAAATATAAAACTTGGCTGCTGCTCAGTCGAATTTTATTTCGGCTTTAACAGCGAGATATTTTAATTCTACCACACCTCTCCTCATTTTCACCGAGGAGAGACCTGGCCTCAAACGAAAAGTCCTCGTGGCCGTAGAAACGTGCGAATTTTTATGTCGCTTACGAAATTGGTCGGATAATCGCGGAGGCGATCGAGAGGCGAGCGCTGGATCTCGTCGATCGTATCGCGCGTCATCTCGCACGCGCCGCTCTTAATATTCCAGATACCGGCGCACTTTATTTACGGCCTGACAAATACCACGAAGGTCGCCGCGCAACAGCGGCTGCGTTAGCCGCGCGTGGAATTTGACCTCCGCGAAAGTGTGCGTCAACCGTTCCCGCGTGGTGAGACCCCGACCGTCGCTCCCCATTGTTTCCTATTCCACGGTTATCTTGCGCCTCGCGCGAGTACGTATGTGCGTGATATTTACAATGCCGCGAGTACGCGCGCGCTCTCTTTCTCTCTATTTTTTTTTTAATTGCAAGAGGAAGGGAGAGAAAGGGATTGTTCCTCGCTGCGGCGCGACACTGTGCGAAATCGTTGCGACAACCCTCCGACAGTCTCGTCGCGATCTCGCGGACGCCAACACTGAGAAAAATGTCCGGTTAAATATAATCGGATAATCCTATTACATAATAACAAACGGATATCCGACGAAAAGTATGATCGGTTTTTCAATCGAATTTTTACAGTTTATTCTTTACATTAATACGTGCAAAATAAGACTAATTAAATTAAAATTGACCGTCCCAAAGTTCTAAAAAAACATGTTGAAGTTTGCTATGTGTCACGAAATATTACGTGTAAAACACGTTAAAAATATTATTACACGTAACAATTAATTCGTTGTAATATTATTACACATATTATTATGTGTTAAAGTATTAATATTTGCGTTTGCAACCTGTCTGGAAGAAACTTTTGAGACAACTACCTTAATAACGAAGTCTTATTTATCGAGAGAAAAACGCGACGAGTCTTTTGAGGAAACGCGCAGGCAGACTTTGGAAATCAATCCGTCAAATTCCTGCTCGTCCCGAGACCTCGTCAGGGGCCTCCACCGTGATTTTTAATGCCTCGAAAGGACGGAAGTCAAACGTTAGAAGATTATTAACGATCAGCTGCGTGCGGTCGCAAAATCGCGAGACGCTGTAAAGCTGATTCCACAATGGACACAGGAGCTAAGCCGCAACGCAAGAAACTGACCAACCACAGTCAAACGTGAGAAGAATGATCGACTGCCATTGGCCAACTTCTTACGTCGCGGCTTAGCGCCTTGCGTTTTGCGTCCATTGTGGACTAAGCTCAAGCGGCGCTCGGAGGATCGCGGGAATAAAAGGAAGAAAAAGCGGGAGAATTGCGATTTATTGTTAATTGGCTGCGAACTGGCTGTGTTCGACGCACGCAAAGCAAGGCGCTCGGCGCCGTCGCTAGAATGCTGAACAGGTCGGGCCCGATTCCGGGGATGAAGAAGGCTAATCGGTGATCGAGATCATCGCGCGGGAATAAGTATAGCCGGGGTGTTCGGAAACGCGAAGGGGGGTGGCTCGCAGCGCTAGACCCGTTCCCCGCGCGGCGCCGCTCTCACGCAACGCAGCCGGCGGGGTTATATGTCTATTGGCCGGCGGCCAATTACACGAGGCAGCCGATAAATCACGGATCCCTGACCCAGTGCAGTTTTATATTTACCGACGACGACGGTGCGGTGGAGCACGGTCACGCGTTCCCTCCCCGGTCCCTCTTCCACCAAAAGCGCGCCCCCGCCCCCCGCGGTCGTTCGTGTCTCTCGCCCCGGCACTCCCGTTCCTCTTCCTTCCTCTCCGGCCGAGGTGGCGCGAAGAGAAGCGAAGGAAGCGAGCGACAGAGGGACAGTGACGGAGGGATGCCTCCCTCGAGGAGGCGGAGAGAGGCGAACCGCCGCCGCCGCCGCCGCCGCCGCCGCGGTGGTCGTGCGATTGTGCGAGTGAGCGAGGAGCAGAAGAGGCCGAGCCGCATGTATAGCGCGCGCTCGCGAGGAGGGGGCTAGGAGGTAGGAGGTAGCGGTCTGTGTACGTGTACGTAGTGCGGCACTTGTTGCGCGCCCGGACGTCGACCTCTTGCGCTCAACCCGAGGCTCCGCGCCGCGCCGCACCGCGTCTAAGGGACGCTCGTGATAATGCACTTGATATCGCCCGAATATCGGCGTCTCTTACGATACCTCTCGAGATCGGCGAGACTCTTGTCTCCAAACATCTCCCGGGCTTACCGTCCGAAACGTTCTCGAGGAATGAAGTTGTCGGAGGGGCTTCCCGCGGCTCGCGTTTCTTAGCAGCGTGGATCTCGAGCAGTCAAGAAGCGGCTCCTCGATTATCGGACGTCGAATAAACTGTGTCGCTCTGATCGTGAAACGTGCACGTTTCTTTCTTCTTGCCGTACATCGCGATGTCTGTTGACTTTTCGTTCAAGCAGGGCAATTGGTCGAAAATTAATTGCGACACATAAGTATTTGGTATTTTATACAAATTGATCTGTTCAATCTTACAATTCGAAATACCATTAGAAATCTTCGAGGAAGAGATTCAAGAGTGAATAATTATAAAAGATTTTGCAAGATTTACAGTTTCACTGTTTTTTTTATGTATAAACTCGCAGATACGATTAAATCCTCTTTTAATGCAATCGTAGTCGCTCGTTTCTTCGGCTAACACGAGGATAAACGCCTACAAGAGCGAGTTTGTGAAAGAAAAAATAATTAAGCAATCGTGACATTTGTCGTATCCACCGATTCAATGAGGATCGATACTCGATCACACTTGAGCGTCACTACGCGCCGCATCCGACCGGCTCGCTCCTCCCTCTCTCCTGCCGTTCTCTCACTCTCTTCCTCCGAAGCGAAAACTTGGCGCGCCGCGGCGCAACCTCAAAAAGGTCGTTCGGCTTCCGGCGCTCTCGTTACGGCCGTCTCTAAATCCGTGCACGAGCGAACGAGCGCGCGAGCGAGAGCGCCGCGACGCGAGGCGAGGCGCGTGTCTCGTGCGTATTTCGGAGGTCGACGCTTCGCGATCGGCGAAAGAGCCGGCCTCCGCCGCCGCCGCCGCCGCCGCCGCCGTCGCCGTCGCCGTCGAAAGTCGCGCGGCGTTATCGAAGCCGATCGCGAACGCGTCCAGAAAGAGAAAGACGGCAGCGAGAGCGAGAGAGTCTCGAGCGCACTTGTTGCGCCCGGACATCGACCTCGCTGCACAGCGAACCTCTCCAGGCCGGCTTCGGGCCCTCGAACACGTTCCGACGGAACCGCGATTTTTCCCAATTGTGGACACGCGCCGGCGAACGCGACCAGCCGACGCGAGCGGCGCGCGTATACGCGCGCGTAACCCGGGAATGCCCACCGCGATTCATTACGCGCGCTAATTTAAACACCGCGCACGAATGTCTCGACGACCGATTTCCGACGACCGTACGCGAAGCATTCGATATTGCGCACTGTGACGGTCGATGATGAGTTTGCGTGGTCCAGAATTCACAGGTGCTCGGTCAACGTAGCGAAAGGTATCGCGTGGGATCGTGAATCTCTCCTCTCCTGATTTTTCCACGATCGAATACCGATTGCGAAAAAGAAATGAGAAGGAGAAGAGAGAGAGAGAGAATCAGAATCATTAATTATTACACACTCTAGAACAAGTCCCTTAAAGCGTGAAAGCAAAATTTAGAATCCCCAGAAGGGGAGAGAAGAAAAGAGAATACGAGACTCGAGGAATCGTGCAATAGAGACTCCGCGAGGTATCTTCAATCCGCGGAGCGCAGTTTCGCGGAAATCGGCGTCCGAGTCCTCCCGCGGGCGTATTCGCGTCCGCCCGCGAAATTCCGGAAGAGAGGGACCCCGAATAGACCCATTTCCCGTGTACGAATCTCGCGGGCGCTCTCGACCTCCCGACCTATCGCAACGTGACACACATACGTTCGCGACGCGGGCGCGAGGCGTCGGAACCGACGACGACAACGGCGAGGCGAAAAGGAGGCACCTTCTAGGTATCTCCAGCTCCGGAAGCGAATTTCGCTCTCTAACGGCAAACCCGGCCGCGAAGAACGTGTATGTATATATACACGCGCGCACGCATATGTGCACGCGCATACTCTCGCTCGTGGCGCACAAACACGATGGTTGCAATGCAACGACGGCGGCCACCGCCGCCGCCGCCGCCGCCGCCACCGCCGTTCGCCTCGAGTAACGGAATTCTCGTCGATGTTTTCTCCGCGATTCTCTCTCGCGCGGCATTGCGCAACGTTTGCGCGAGCGCGCGCGTTTTTCCTACGCTGCACGCGTGGATCCCCTCCCCCTGCGCAAGCGCGCGCTCCTCGTACTCTCCTTTTTTTTCCTTTTCTTTTCGTATCCTCCAGGTCCCCCGCGAGCTCCCGCGGCGTGAACGCTCGGTCTCGGCTCATCAAGCCTCGGGGAGGCCTCGATCCTTCCGGTTTCCGCGTACGCGCGATACGATCGCAGCCCGGGCCGCGGCCTAAGTCCCTCGGCTCCGCGCGCGCCACCCGGTAGAATGGACGATCCAATTTCTCGGCACCATGTTCGTGTGCACCACGTACCCGTGCCGCCGTGCCGACCTATCCCAACGTAACGTAACAGATGACTATCGAGTACGCCGAATCGGCGGCCGCGCTCTCGCTCCTTTAAAATCCGGAGTAGCGCGATCGGTGTCAGG